TGATTTCTTTTCTTTTTTCTTTGTCCCTTCTCACAAAATACTTCAAAGCTTTAACAAGCCTCTTTTGTAAATCTAGTATAGGAAAATATCTGGGTCACTCTCTTGATTTGTTATTTGTATAACCCTTTTAATTATTAAGACATCAGCTGGTCTCTTTTTTATGTCCAGTGTAGCATCTTTTTCTGTGTCATTCTTGTAGTCTGCCATTTTAAAATCTACTTTCAGATCAGTCTCAATCTTTTCAGGTAAAACTTGTTCCTCTTCCATAACATCTTTTAAACACGGTCTGTCTATAGAGGCAGGTACTCTTAAAATTAACTTCTGGGTCCATTGTTTAAAAATAACCTTCAGTATGTCCAGTGTTAAAATATTTTGCTTCATTCTGTATTTGTAAAACAAATTTAAGTGTTCTTCTCCTTTAATTGTAATCTTTAGTTCCTTCTAGTTTCCTCTAGTGTCCAATTTTTAAAGTTTATTATGTTTTTTTAAGAATTCAAAACAAAAGCATTTTCTCATAGAAAGGATTCTTATAATTAATTCCAAGATCTTATTTCAAATTTATCTGGACATTTAATCCATTTGTAACTAAAGATGGCTCCGCAAAAATATTACTGGCTCTTCATAATTCCTCTGTGAAAATATTATCGGCTCTTCATAATTCCTCTCTGGAGAAGGAGAGGGTGTGAGATCACTCACAAGTGCTCCAAACAGTTGTTCCTCATGAGACCACAAGACAACAGTCTCCAGTGGGTTTAGAGCTCTGGGAGACAAGAGAATAGCCATCTTGTACAACATGGAACCTTAAATTAAGTGCACAGGGCTTGGTTACTTGAAGGACTGCCTGTCTTCAGTTGTTTCTGCCCATCAAGTATATTCAGGTAGACTGGGTGCATTCAGGTCTCCTCAGTTAAATGTTGTTGCCTTGTGGGACTAAAGCAGCATGTCTTCTCTGTTGCAGCCCCTGCCCTCTGGAACAGCACCCTCCTGGAGATACTCCTTAAGACCTGGCTCTTTACCCAAGCCTGGGGTTAGGAGCCTTTGATGAGTCTTTTTTTTTTTTTAATGTTAGAAATGTTGTTTTGGTAAGCTGTGTTTTTAATTTAACATATTGAAAGTCACCCAGCGCCTTTCCGGAGTCAGGCAGTCTTAAAAAATCAGATAGATAGATAGATAGATAGATAGATAGATAGATAGATAGATAACAAGTATATCATTCTAGTCTTTATTAAATTAGAGCACCAGGATTTCTCTCACATCCTCATTTTATGCTTCTACAAATCAGTGCTATAGGATAGATTGAGAAAGCGAGAAGCTGGTCCATTGTCACACTGTGGCATTTTGATTTCAGATCTAACATACCTCAGCATACTAATCACTATTCCACAGTGCATCTCTGAAATGTAACTCCTTAAATCTATGCTTCCAATTTGTTACTGAAAGAATCAAACCAGTATTGGTCATGGTGAAGGAAAATCCCGAAATGCCTAATCAGTCTAGCTATCTCTCGGCCTCAGAGAAGAAACTATGTGGAAACCCCACAAAGTATATAGAAACCTGCAGGATATGGACCATGTATCTTTAGCAGTGTATGTGCACAGACTGATATAGAGAAATTGCCTTCAGTATGTGAAGACTGAATTGACACTATCAGGGAAATTCCAGAGCTTTTCTACCTTCTGCATAGACTAAATGAATAAGCAATGGTAAGCAGTACACTAAACAGTTGTTGGCTTCTTTTAGTATGGAAAAAACCATGTTTCCTTATTTGTTACCGAAAGAATCAAACCAGTATTAGTCAAGATAAAGGAAAATCCCCAAATGCCTAATCAGTCTAGCTATCTCTTGGCCTCAGAGAAGAATGTTGCCACATTTGATCAGGAACGTTTTTTACTTGTTTTTCAAAAGAAGCTCTATGACATTGTTTCTTTTTCTTCTTCCAAACAGAGATAACAGCTGTGTGAGCTATGGAAGTGACAGTCTCCTCTCTCCAAAGACTGCACAAGGTATGATATGACAACACAGTAGCAGCTAGTTTCAAGCCGGGATTAAGTTATTAAAGCTGTTTTCAAGCCAAGAAAGCCAGAGGGCCAGAACAGTCAGTTTGTTGGCTGCTTGGCTGGTTCTGTCTGGTTCAGAGAGATGAGGAAATAGGTAAGTGAGAAAGCAATGATTGTTAAATATGAAGACAGGGACTTCATATTATTGTACCTCAGCAAGGAAGGTCACCTTGGAGTCCACCCAAGGATGACCTTAGGGTAGGAACATACAGGAAGAGACAGGAACATACAGGAACATACAGGAAGAGACATTCTTTTAGATACAGTTTGGTTTCAAATTGTTAAGGGTTTTACAGAATAGTTAAAACCAGCACCCTGAACTGGGTTCAGAATCAGAAATGATAATAATAAACTAGTTTAATATAATTACATCACCCAGTTCTAGCCAGTCCTCTTGCTACAGCAATTTGTATTGAGTGAAGTTTCTGAGCCATCTCCAAGGACAGCCCACACGTAATGTTTTTCAGTCATTTATCCAAGAAGTTACCAGGGCACGGATTACTGCTGGGCCCTATCAAAGTAGGGCTGTAGATGGTGCATCCTGTGCCTCCGGTGTCAGAGTTGGATCCAGAAACATCCCAAGCTATGCATTTCATCTTGTAGGGGAGCACAAACCTATTTAGAACAGGTTACACTCTACTCACCTGACTCATCCATAAGAGCACTTCTGTCTTGTCTGGACTGAGCTTCGATTTGTTGGCCCTCATCCTGTCCATATAGCCAGGAATGGAATTTCAGCAATTCCACTGCATTACCTGGATCTGATGAAAATGAGAGATAGGGCTGAGTGTCATCAGCAAACTGATAACATTTTACTCTAAAGTTCTGAATTATCACACTCAGTGGTTTCATATAGATGTTGAGCAACGTTGATAATAAAAGGGAACCTTGCAAATCTACACAACGTAATGGCTCAAGCAGGAGTATCCCATCATCGCCTTCTGGAGATAGCCATCTAGGAATGAGTAGAATCACAACCAGGTTGTTCTGCCTGCACCTAATTTGGACAGCTTCTCTAGAAGGATACTATCATCAATAGTTTTGAAAACTGCTCAGAGATTCAGGAGCATTAATACGTTTGTATTCCCCTCTCCTGGCAATATCATCCAACAGAGTGACCAAGGCAGTGTCAGTGCCAAAACCAGGCCTAAAACCTACATGAAATGCATCCAGGAAATCTGCTTCATCCAATAGATCTGATTAGTCACCACACATTTGCCCAGGAAAGGAATGATAGCCTTTAACCTATAATTAATTAGATCTTCTGGATCCAATGATTTTTTTTCCCAGAAAAGGTCTCATTAGAGCATCCTGTAATGAGCGTGGAACTATTCTGTGTAGGGGCAAATTTATGATTTCCTGGATCCAGCTGAACAGCCCTTCTGACCAGATGTAATAAGCTAAGAGGAGCAAGCAAAGGTGACTGCCTGAACGTGACCAAACACCTTATTCAATTAACAGGCTTTATTTACACTTAAACTTAGGTACTAATTTGCCATCTTATTTGATATCTTTGTACCAAATCCAACACTCAATAGGCCATATGTCACTGTAAAACTATTTTGCAGTCTCCAGAGTCTCCTGAAATAATGCCTCTTAATGTCTCTGACCAAAAAAGTGCAGCATTTTCCCCATCTTTTTTAGAAACAGAAATAAAAGAGAGGAAAAACTGATGTGCAAGTCTCCTTTTCGGATCAACAACCATCAATAATAACAACAGCAACCCAATATGTTAATACATCACTAGGGCCAGCCCGTACTTTCATGGCAGCTTTATGATGAAATTTATAAGCCAAAGTAATAATGAAGTCAGTATTCGCTGCAGTCAATTTATAATTGTTCTCTATCCAGTACAGTGAAGGCTGTGGTAAAATTAATGGATGTGGGAAATAGATGTTTTGATATTCCTTGATGTGTTTGTAATTCCATGAGATTACATGGTGTGTTGCAAAGGGTCAAAAAACCTTACACTTTCTTAGCTGAAGCACAAAATGTTCCATTCCACTGAATTTCTCTTCACTGGCAGCAAGACAGTGTCCTTCACTTCAAATCTAGCTTTATGGGGCTGAGTGGGATATGCACAGCATAAACAACTCTGTTTTCCATCACCTCATTACCACTCTCTATGTTAGTCTGCCTAATAGGATGTGGGGCCCAGAAAAACCATTAGACCAGTCAATAGTTTTCCTAAAACCAGGTAGCTTTTCAATTAAATATGACATTTGCATAATTCTGGAACTAAGCACTATTAAGCTTTGGTCGCAGATATGCATTTTTAAAAATAAGGATTGCTTCACGAAATCCCAAATGAATCTTTTGTAGATTTGTGATTTAAACAGGTGACCCCCAAAATTAGTCATATTGGCATTGATCCTGATTATTTATTTTCCAGGGGTATGATATCAGCATTTCATTGTATTAAACAAAGATCATAGAATAATTCAGTACAGGAATTAATGACTAAAACCAAAGATCCATGTTTACCTGTAACTTTTGGAATTATTTACAGATATATTTTTCAGCTCCCTAAATATCTTAACAGTTTATATTTAAGTAAATACAGAATAGCCTTTTCAAAAGCCAGATTAAATGTGTTACCATCAAATATGCTATATGGCAGATTTCAAAAAAACCCATCTCTCAAAGATTTTGCCCCTGTAATGATATTGACCTTGAAACAGTGGATCATATTTTATTGTATTGTGGATTTTATAAGAGTCTTTGGCAGGATGTTATCTGGCCTATTTTAAAATAAAAACAGGAAGAGATGCAGGTAGTCCTCGACTTACGACCACAATTGGGCCCAGAATTTCCATCACTAAGCAATGCAGTCGTAAAGCGAGATGTCACAACTAGAGTCTGTGACTCCACATATATTATTGGTTGTCCTTCAGAAAGTTCCTCTAACATAGTCCTCTTATGCAAGCAAGTGTTGCAACTTCCAGAGTTGAGAAAAGGTGGTAGCATTAGGGTTACATATTTACTCTTCCCTTGACCTTTCAGAACACTTTGACCATAGCAACAGCAGATTTATCTGATGTTATCTGAGCTTCGGACGCCTTTGGATGCAGAGTATATGTGGAATCTTCCATACACAGTAGAGGGTACTTAGAATACTTAGAATACAGCAGGCATGCTAGATATGTGAGAGGAGAGCTTAAATTCAAACATCTTTTCTTTATGAATTGTTTAGAGCTAAATTCAGGAGTGGCGTTTAGTGTGTCAGAACAAGAGCTGCTGCCAAGTTGCTCTTACAAAAAGGAAAGTCAGACAGCATATAAAGACTGAATCTTCCACTGGGAAGAAAAATAAACAAAAGACAAGAACTACTGCTATTATTTACACTGTGTTTCTCCTTGTAACAATGACACCATAAAAGCCAAAACAGGGTGCCTCATATTGGATGTGATGGGATACCTAGTTCATGTGATGGTCTGAAATGAAATGAAATTAGTTCTTATTCCATAGCCCAATTGGAAGATTATGTATATGAGTATCATAGTGGCATGGCTATTTTTCTTCTGCACTTTTGGAACTTTGAAAAGACTTGTAAGAAATAAGACAAAGATGCTATATATCTATTTATTCTTTTCATCTACTATCCAGAAATTGTTGATGTCTTGAATTAGTGCTGGAGCTGGTAAAACTCTGAGTACTAGATTATGCTTTAATTCAGTGAAGATGGAGGAGGCTCCTGTTGGAAAGAGGAAGGACTCTGAGTTTGGGATGGAACATGTTTTAGGTGAGGACCAGGTTGCAGCCCTGCTTAGGGGTAGCTAAGCCCAGATTAGATTGGTATATCTGCTGTATTAGTTTCTGAGAGAGAGAGTTCTGACTATGGTAACACATACCTGTCATATACATGCTGAACAGTTACAGTGCTCTCTGTTTGAGCCTACCTTAAAAGTACTTTTGGAAATTTCAGCTGTCCAGAATGTTGTGACAGATTTTTAGTATGTGCTTGGGATCATGTTACATCTATCTGAAATGCTTTCACTGATTGCCGGTTTGTTTCTTAGAACACTCAATGTATTAGCGATAACTTTCAGAGCTCTAAATGGCCAGTGTTCAGGATATATGATCAGTTGCCTCCTTCCATAGTTGCTCATTAAGAACAATTGGAAGGCTTTTAGTTGTGTTTCTTTCTATGACATCTTTCTCTGTTGTACTGTAGAGACATCTAGTCATTCATCTCTTTTTGAAGGAGCTTCTGCACCTCCTTATGAACTGATGAACAACAGATCTATAGATGAAAAGCAAGGTTCAGGAGATAATGGTAGGTAATAATAATAACAACATCCACATCTGGTGTGGGAAGATGGCCCTCTCTCCCTCTTTTATATTCAACCTGAGGAATATTTCTAGGACTTTGATTTAAATTATAACCTGAAATATATAAAAGGATTGCGTTTTTAAATATTTTGCCTTGCAATTCTTAATCACTACTGATAATCAATATGTAATTTGCAGGAGGATAACTTCCTTTTTAATGAAAAAAAAAAGATTTCTAGTTTTCGGAGTTTGAAAAGTCTCTTATTTTTTTAAAAAACAGATTGACAATCTATAGAAATTGTTTATAGTTTAGGGCTCTTGTGCATCCTACATTTCAAGATTTTCTTCAGCCATTGCCTTTTCATTGACCAACCAGGCATTTGACCATAGAATGAGACCTGGGCATATCTTGCCAGAAGAGTCAGTGATTCCCACCATATTTCCACTAGAATGCTTGTCCTAATTCCATCATCATATCTGTCTGTAGTCTACATACATAAAATTGTTGCTGACATACTTTCATCTCACCCATTCACTAGATTTCCAAACACATAATGGCTATCATCACAGTGGATAACCTTAACGTGGTTTTCAGTATGTAAATCAGTCTTTTCTGGTTCCCTCCAAATCCAATGGATCTATGACTTCCTGTCAACCTTACTAGGTAGACCAGACCAGGAGATCAACTCCACAGGAAGGCTAAAATGACTTTTATTGAAATTGGCTATAATAATAGAATCTTGCAAGTTTGATTATGCTCTATCTCCTCCTCCTTACAGTTCAGTGAATTAGGTAGGCTTCTGCCCGAGCCACTTGCTGTCTTCTGGACTTAAAATACGTTTCAGCCCCTTTTGCCTAGGTAATGGTCCTTGCATATCTCTGTCAAGGTCAGCTTCCTGGCTGTTTGCAATTCCAGAACTGTCAATCAGCATACCATTGCCACCAGCTGCAAATGCTCCAATATATCTGGAGGATGAGCACAGACAATCTGTATTTGTAAGATTCAATTCCTGAACAGTATGCAATGGCTTAATCCACTTGTATTATCCTGGAATGAAAGAAAAAGGAGAAAACTTCCACTCTCATTTATTATTATTTTGTCTCTTCTTGCACTGCAGGAAACAAATCTTTGTCTGGTTTACTTGATCAGAGCCCCCCTCGACATCTAAGTGACTGGAAGTAAGATAGTATTTGACTAACTCATTTCTGCTGATTTAATCAAATGGATAAAAATGCTGGGTAAAATCTTGAATCTATTTCTCTTCATACACATCTCCTTTTCATATGCAGGGGCCTAGGACACAACATTTATTGCAATCCCCAGCCCCCAGTGCATCTAAGTACATCATATGCCAATGTAATTTTTCTGCCATTTCCCTTGTCACATCTCCAGTAAGTGTGTGTGTGTGTGTGTGTGTACAACATAAAATACAAGGATACATAACAGCATAACAGTACAAGGATAGATAACAGGTAAACAAGGCACGAAGAGTTATTTAAACTCTTCGTGCCTTGTTTAGCTGTTATCTATCCTTGTTCAGTGATCAAATACTTTTCTTTCAAGGTATAAAATTAATTAATTAATTGTATCATTAATTAATTAAATTATAACCCCATTCCCTCCTCTCTCCTAGTGGTGCTGGAGGAGAGACTTCACATGTAGTACCCAACCACTTCCACATGAATTGGAACCCCTTCCACCCCCCATCACGAAAACAGCTTACCTAGAAGTGATCCGTACAGCTTGGTTTCCCACCCCATGCAGTCATGCCTTCAGCATGGAGACATCTCTTCACTTACTTCATCAGTGCTACTAGGACTCTCATGTTGAACTGAATAAGTGACGGAATCACTTGAACTGCCTTGAAAGAAAAATAATGATCCATTTGACCATTTTAAATATGGGTGGAAAAATTCCTCTTTGTATTTGGGGCCCAGCGTAGGACAACCAATCTGTGATAGGTGTTGTGCACTGAATATAATATACACATCAACCCCTCACCCACCCAGGAGGTCTTGTGTTTGTGATACTCTGTTCACAGTGTCCTCTTTTTCACATCAGAGATTCTATTTCTTTTGTAATTATATGTCAGAACAAATTAGTGCTTTGCCTAGAAAATGGTGACAGCTATAGATTTTCTATATTGATCCCTTCTCTTTACTTGCTACCTGTTTGCTATGTCGAGTTTTGATACCAATTAAGTAAAAAATAAGATAGAAACTTTACATTTGGTTTTCCCTAGCTAACAACAACAATCTTCATCTTAAACCCCCTTAGCTACCCCGGTAATTCTTTTATTTTTTATTTTAATTTTAAAAAACCCTTCAGGACTTGATTTTAATTCTCTGGCTGATAATATTAATTAGCTGGAGCTCTGCCCTTTACAATCCTGAGGACACTCTTATACATGTTAGCACTTCTTACCTATAAAAAATTCTCTTCTGGGTAATAAAAAACATGATATCGATTGGAGAAATGTATATCAGAGTAGCCTGGGCACCCGATTCAGTCCTCTGGAAACGTCCCAACATTGGTCCCTCCAAACTTGATGCTGAGGTATGTGGTGAGACTGGAAAAATTGAGCTCCGTTTTCTATGTATCAGGACAGGATAAAACACATGGCTATAAGTTGTAGACCAGGATAAAATGAACTTTACAAGAAATTGATGCATTTATATGAGTTGGAATTATGCCAGGTATCGTAGGCATCTATGCAGGATGCATAGGGTGTAAATTTTTAAATTACACTCCTTTAAACTCTGTTTTCATTAAGGCACCTGTAATTTTGTTGCATTGAAAGAAAAGTAAGTACTGTAAGGAAAATTCAAGATAATAGCCTCCACTACTGGGGCACCTATGCCAAAGATTGGGTGAAGAGGATTTGTTAAGAGGAACATCATTCTCCTTATTATTCCTAAGAAACAAGGGTGTCTCTTCCTGAATGAAATGACAGCATCTTGTTTCTGAACCCAAGGCATAGGAGTTGAAAAGAGTCTGGTCCATACTGCTTACTTCAGAAGATGAAAGCACTCTTAAGCAGGCATCCTAAAATTATTTTGGTGAACAGTAGTTTTGTGTGGAGTGCAGGAGGTCCTCCTTCACATAGGATGGTCCCTGCCACTGACAACTCATACTGGCAGACAGAGTAAACTCAGTGTTGTTCTTTCAAAAAATGTCCACCCAGTTCACAGCTTAACCAATGATTCTCCAGGTGAAGGAAACAAATTGGGGAAAATAGGAATATTTATTTACTAAATTTGTTTATATTTCAAATTTGGTCGCTGCCCATCTCACTCAAATGGGCGGTTTGAAGAATAGCAGTTCTGATTTCATTACATACGATAATTTTAAGGGCTCAAAACGTCAGGATGTAAAGCTTTCTAATAGTTATTCCAAACCTGAATGAAGTAGTGCATGTCTATTTTCTTTTCCTCAGCACACTCTCCACCTCTGAACAAGAGATTAAAGATGCATTTCTACAGTATGCAACCGCCAAGTTTTGCTATAGGACTGCCCCTGCAAAGAGTATAAAAGTCCAGAAGCTAACTCCTCTCAACACATACAGAGTATGTACTATAGTTGCACGTTCCTTGAAGATTGAACTCTTGGAAGTCTGGCCTGTGCTGGAACAAAAACTGCTCTCAGGCTTTCTCCTGGGTATCACTCCCAGTCAAGGTGTTAAACATCTAGGTTTCCTAACATCATTCCTTATTATACTTTCTTCTGTTTCATTTAGCACTCAAATTTATGAAATATTCCTTAAAAATATAAGTACCTCTTCAGTTGAGAACCAACGTTGAACTTTGTAGAGAGAACAGTCAGCATCAAAAATCTATATATCCTTTACAGTGTTTTCCCCCTAGCAGCGAAAATGTGGTGTAACTGCATAAGATTGCACTGAGAAATGGGAATATAGCTATAATCTAAGCGCACACACACATTTATTTATTTATTTTATTTATTTATCATATTTATATAGCCGCCCATCTCACACAACGTGGCTCTGGGTGGTGTACAACAATTAAAAAATAAATACCTAAAAACAATGACACATAAAAAAACTGTAAAAACACACAAAATAGGAGGGGATAAAATTAATAAGGGAGCCATCATAAAATCTCCCTGGTCCCCTGGGATCCCAGGCCTGACCACATAGCCAGATCTTGAGGAACTTACAGAATATTAAGAGGGATGGAGCTAATCTCCTTCCGGAGGGAGAAGATTCCACAAGGCGGGCACCACAGCAGAGAAGGCTCGCCTCTTGGGACCCGCCAAATGTAGTTCTCTAGCAGATGGGATCTGCAGCATGCCTTCTCATGGGGAGAGGCGGTCTCTCAGGTAACCTGGCCCCATGCCATGAAGGGCTTTAAAAGTCAAAACCAGCACCTTGAATTGGATCCGGAAGCAAACTGGGAACCAGTGCAGCTTGCGAAGCAGAGGTGTAACGTGTACCGCCCTAGGGGCACACATAACTGCCCATGCTGCTGCATTTTGCACCAGCTGAAGCTTCCAGATACTTTTCAGGGGCAGGCCCATGTAGAGTGCATTAGAGAAATCCAAACGGGAGGTAACTAGGGCATGAGTGACAGTGATTAGGTCACTCATGTTTATATACATGTTTGCCATTGTTATTGATTTGCAATTAACAAAATGTTTCAAGAAAGAGCATCAAAAAAGAGGGGCCATCAAAGAGAAGTGCTACAATATTAAATATGTCTCTCTGTCTCTCTCTGTCTCTCTCTCTATGGTATACCAAAGAGAGAATAAGATACAAGTTCAAATTCAAAACAGTATATATAAAATAAAAAAGAAGGAACATAATGATAAAAAATGAAATACATTTTTAAATGGTTATATAATAGCAAACAGTTTTTTCATTATGTGAGTAGAGAACCAATTCAAAGGCAGAGAATGGATAAAGATATGTTGTGAATTCAGGTTTCTAAATCTAGAATAGCCATTATCTTTCCATAAAAACAGAACATTTTTGTTATATTCCATATTCAATTCCAAGCTTTTCATAAATCAATAAATTCCATGTTTTCAGTATATAGTTCAATATCATATGAACCTCTTTAAATATTATATAATACCTCTTCCCCCAAAGCATCCTGACAACATTAAGAGGCAACTGTAGAACACACCCAAATTATATGTATTGAAAGCCCTCAAATCATGCCCTTACCTACTCTGAAGCATCTGATTGCATCCTGGCAGGACCACTTGAACTCAAATGCATAGTTTCATCTGATTGTGTAGCTACTGTGCTAACCCAGAGAAAGATGCAGCTTCTTTAAGAAGGTGCTAAGAAGTGTGGTACCATTTGGGCTTTGGATTCAATACGTACACTTCCCTGTAATCAAATCAGTGCACTTCTTGAACTAATATGTGAAATGGAACTTATGCTGTCCACTAGATTATGCATTTAGTGAAAGGTCTTGTCCAAGGGCATCCATGGGTATGTGTAGATGCATGATTTACAAATCCAAAATCAATATTTGCAAACAAGTTTGGCCTCAAATTTCTATCGTCTTTAGTGTATGTAAGGTAATTATTTCATAGTGAACAAAAGTAGTTTACACTAACTGGAATAATTAAAAACAAAACAGTAATTGTTTCACTTCAAAGCATTAGGGCTGGGTTTTAAAACTTCTCAAAAGGTCCAGAACCAGGTTCTGCTAATTGGTGGTTCAGATTTCCACATCAGAAGCCAGTCTGCTTTCCAAGGATGGCCATTTTTGTTCAAATACTTAAAACTTCAGTTTCAGTTTAATGAATTATTTGCTGTTTTCTGTTCCCAGTATCGGTTAGAGACTTTCACTGAAAGTAGAGAGACATCCTTGGCTAGTGAAAATTATTATGGTGAGTAACTTGTGGGAATGAGGAAAATTTTCCCGAATGACTCTTTTGCAAGAGATTACCGCTTTGAACCCCTCAGGATACCAATCCAAGTGTCAGACCATTGGTTACACTCTAACATGTGGCAGGGGAGAGCAGAATAACATTTAATGGAATCAGGACAAACTAGTAGATAGGTCTGGGACATATACTACCTCTCTCTCTGTCTCTCTATGTTTGTTTGTGTGTGAGAGAGAGTAAAAAGAATTAGTATGATTACTTGTTGTGCATTAATTTTTCCCCTTCCATCATACTAAAAGTTATCCTTTCGGAAGGGCGCCTGGCATCAAACTCAGGGCTTCAGGAGACTCCATTTGTGACAGCCTGAGTTAAAGGGCTGGACTGGAATGAGAATAAGCCTGTTTCAGCTATCAAGTGCACTAGGAGGCTTTCTTTTCTCACCCAACTTAATTGAAGAATTGACTTGCGTATCCTGAAGAGGTCCTGAGGATTAAAAGTAGAAAAACAAAAATGCAGTTTAGGAAAGCTGCCACAATTTTTATCCATGTTCCAACTGAGAAAGCAATATACCATTTCACTTTTGTTTCCATCATCAGAGGATCTGAGTTTCTGAGTAGTCGCAGGCATGTCAGTCTTTATGTAGAACTGGATACAATGACATTCGTTTATGCTAAGCCAAGGGCAGGCTGTACATCTCTCCCTGTAGGAATAAAAGTTTGTCTGTAGTCCTTTTAAGATGGGAGCTTTTTATATTGCAGGTAGAAAAAATTTTAAAAAGAAAAAAATGTAAACATCTGATTCCTTAGTTGCTATGACATTTCCATTGAATGAAAATAATATGAAGACTCTTTTCTCTCAGTTAATAAAGGCTTTGTGTACCATCTGTTCATCATTTCAGTTAATATACTTATTTGGAGGGTACCACTAAGAATGCTTTTGTCAAACCAGAACAACATTATTTTTAAAAATGTTCAGCACAATCTGAACTGAGAGGTGGGGGGGTGAAATGGGTCAACAGCTATTGCCAAACCCTTGTGATGGTTGGGGCAGGCTATGTAAGCAGACTTACTTCACTTCTGGTCGCTTGCTTTCCTGATCCATTGTCCACCTCTTGATTCCAGTTTGGGGAAGAATGCCTGGAAAATAAGCACAAGGGGAATGAACATAAGACTTAGGTTATCAGTATCTGACAAATAGCCTAAAAGTCCCCAAAGCTTGTCAAGCTCTCAGGCTGCATTTCTATTCCCAGTCATTACTGAGGAAGTCCTTTAGAGCTTCTCAGTAGATATGTCCAGGATTATACTGTAAGTTCCTAAAGAATAGATGTATTTATGTATGTATGTATGTATGTATGTATGTATGTATGTATAGGGCTGACCATCTTGCCAAGGTGACCCTGAGTGGTAAATAAGTTTAAAAACAACAATATAAATTAAAATACAAAATGAGCCATACCTAATCAAAGGGGAAAAAAAAAGAAAGGACACCAAAGATAATAGCTCCAAAATAATTACAAACCACATGGGCTCCACTAACTTCCTGACTCCCATGCCTGGGTTAGGGTCAGGGCCAATCTGGTCTCAGGTGGTCGGGTGTTCCAATCTGGTCAGGTGGTTGGCATGTACCATGACAGAAAAGTCATGAATCCCACTAGATGGCATTCCTTAATCAACAGGATCTGGAGCATGTCCCTACTGTCAAATCTAATGGGGTGGGTAGAGGCAATTGGAAAGAGGTGATGCCTCAAATATCCTGAGGTGGTTGAAGGAATCCTGGGAAAATGTCTTTTTTAAAATAGCTACAGTACTTATATATGGCAAATTACTTAAGATTTTTTTTTTTTTTTTAAATCTGTACTATTTTACAGAACACCATTTAAGCAGTATGTATGGTTCATCATCAGCTGTAGCCAAATGTTTGTCTCCTTTAAGGCCAAAATAGGTAATGGGATGAGATTAATGACCATACTGATTTAGTTTTTGATTGATTGAGGAGGGTGTATGTGTTTGGTCTTCCAGGTGGATTCGTGGACTCAGCTGCTGTTGCACCCCCACCCACCCCATGGGAAATCACTGTGGATCCACCTCCCCTGTTTACAGACTGTGAAATGCATATCCCGGTACCCCACTCATATTTGCTGGAGGTAAAACAAATATTTCTTACTCTCCTTAGGATTACAGGTATATGCTGCTTTTCTAAAGTATGTGTTTTTTTGAAGCTGTGGCTATATATGAAATCAGTAAGGGAACCAAGTCAATATTTTCTGAAGCTGGCTGGGGAATTCTGGAAGCTGAAGTCCACACATCTTAAAGTTGCCAAGGTTGAAAAACACTGCACTAGATGAACCACTTCTATGACTTATTTCTTGGGCTATTTATTAATGATATGTTAATGTTTTACTGATTACTCCCACTTTTAAAATGTTCTTAGAAATGTTCAGTATTTTGAATACTGCTGTAGTCTCCTAAAAACTTGAAATAATTACTCCTAGAATATAAAATTACTATTAAAATGGTTTTGTTGGCAGTTTGCTTAAGAAAGTAGAAGCATAAGGACGTTAAAGCTTATGAGATGATTGAGTGGATTACAAATATAATAACAATAAATCACAATAAAATACCAGCAAAATTCTGAATGATCAGGTCACAATTAACTTAAGTTGACTCATCATGCAAGAACATCACCATGTTATTCCCTGAGAGGAGGAAAATGAAGAAGTGGATTCCAAAAGACATATTTAAATTCAGGGCATATATTGCTGGTTATTCTACAAAATCTAGTAAAAAGTAAAAAGAGACAGTTTTCCAATCAGTCTAGCAGCCTCTGAAAAAGGCATTGTGGGTGGGTGGAAGTACAAAAATATGTCACATGCCATTAATGGCTCTTGTTATAGGAAGTGAAAGCAAATTGTGACTCATCTTTATCTATTTCATTGGTTCTCAACGGGGGGGCGGTGGGAGGATGCTGAGGGGCAGTGAACTTGTTTTGGGGGGGAGGGGGGGGGG